GAGGGGCGATCGAGGCGGCTCCACCCGTGACGCGTGCTTTCGCGTACTCTCCCACACCCTTTTTCCCTTCCTCTGTGCAAGGTTTCCTCCGCGGACGGGCGCGTTCCAAGCCACTACGGAACGGAACGCGAGAGGAGGGAAGGATGGAAGAAAAGGGCAAAGAGGGGGGGCAGAACGAGGGAGGCCGAGGAGAGACGAGGGAGGAGGGGGGCAGGGCGCAAACCAGGAACGCGTCGCGTCCCAGGCGGCTCGAGACGGGCAGCTCCTCTCCTACTCCTCCTCCTCCTCCTCCTCCTCCTCCTCCTCCTCCTCCTTGTCCTACGCCTGCTGCGGGCGCCGAAGAGGGTGCCGATCCTCCGGGAGGCTCGCAAACCCCTGGGTCGGCTCGTTGAAAGCTGCCCGGCCACCACTACCACCACCGCCACCACCACCACCACCACCACCACCACCACCACCAACACCTTGCTCATGGGCAGTGACACTCCTCCTCCTCGTCCTCCTCCCCACCTCCTCCTCGTCCTCCTCCTCCTCCTCCTCCTCCTCCTCCTCCCGTCTCCTCCTCCATCTCCTCCTGCTGCTCCTCCTCCTCTTCGCCGGTGACAATTTGGGCTGCCACATCTTTAGCGAGAAACCCTCGGTGTCGACACGCGGTGCTTGGAGGACACCATGTATCCCGTGCCTGCTATGTTCAGTTGACTGGGTTGACGGGGCCAGAAATCTCACGACGAATTTCAAGTTGATCTTCAAACTTGCTGGCTGTGGCCCCATATTCCATGATTTGTCTGCGTGGCTGCTGGTAACATCGCGATGCCCAGACACTCAGCAATGGTATGTATGATTATCCGGTCGCCGTGCAAAGAAGACAGTGCGGAACAATCAGGGGAATAATACGGTGGAAGAACATACGGCATAGTATGATCGGGAGACGGACAAGGCATCCCTCACTTCACGCCTTACCCTGCCAGCATTAAACAAAAAACAACGCAACCGACAACATACGGAATGGCCCGTGCAATAGCGGTACGAAAAGAGAAGCGTTACCCTGGTTCGACAACTATGTAGCGGACGTCTCGTCGCGAGGCACAATCTGCCTGGAGCTGACGACTTGCTCCAGCAATGTGCTCACCAACCGCCATCGCCCCCCCATGCTACACCCCTTGCTTGCCCACGCCCACCCTGTCTCAAACTCATGGGTAGAGGATCGCGTCCTTCCAATGCTCATTGCTTTGCAGCAGGTGTGCATAATTGACTTTTTCGTGGAGTCATGCTGCCTCCCACTTCTTCACGCTCGTCATCGGCTTGTGCTCCCAAATGTTCCGCGGTTAATATTCCCCCACCCCGCCTTCCCCTCCTCCGATACCCCTTCTTCCCATCGCATAGTCTGCTTCCCATTGCCTCTATCCCCCCTCCTCGTTCCTCATCTCTTCTCTTGCTCCTCCACTCCTCTCAACGGTCCCCTCCCACCCAAAGTCCACCCCTCCGGTTGATGGACGTCATTCTTCACTTTCTATGCCCATTTGTGTGAGCATCCCCCGCGCCCCAAAATGTAAGATTGGCTGGCTACGCCGCGGTGTGTCAGACGACGTCCCAAAATCCTGCGCCCCGCTGGCGATGCTAACCAAGATTGAATCGAGGACAGGGGGGGCGCGTTGAAGTTTGCGCCGGCACCCTGGACGAGCAGGTAGAGAAGGATATTGTCCATCAGCCGCCCCTCTCACCACCAGGATCAGTCAGCATCGAATCGGCAAATCCGATCGAAACGAACAGCGCACTGGATAGGCCGCACCGACACGAAATCGGAACCGAAATGGAACGGCCGCGCCATGACGCACAACAGCGCCATGCAAGCATCGGGCCGCGTCGGATCGCCGCTTTAAGTGGCCGAAAACCATCTCGAATCGGATCGGGTCGAAGAGGACCCTCTTCTCCAACCGTGCTCCTCCCCATCGCCTGGCCTCCCCCCCCCACACCCCCACCCCGAGCCCCTTCTCGCCGCCTCTCGCGCCTACGACGGACCTGAACCCGCGTGTCCCTGCTCCCGCCGGCTCCACGAAGCACACCGAGGGATCTGCTGCCCCTCCTCGCCCTCCGGCGGCCCTCTCCCCTCGATCGACGCTCCCTCTCCTCTTCTACCTCCTCCTCCTCCTCCTCCTCGCCCTCCTCCAGGCCCTCCCTCACTCCCCCCGTCCTTTTTCCCGCCCCTGTGCCACCCCCCCCCCTCCACTGCGTGCTCCTCCTGCTCCTCGTCCTCGCTCCGCTCCCAGCCGCCCCCACCCCGCGGAGAAGGAGGAGGAGGCGGAGGGGGAGGAGGAGGGGAGGAGGAGGAGGAGGAGGAGGAGGAGGAGGAGGAGAGGAGGAGGAGGAGGAGGAGGAGGGGAGGAGGAGGAGGAGGAGGAGGAGGAGGCGGAGGAGGAGGAGGAGGAGGAGACGGAGGAGGAGAGGAGGAGGAGAGGAGGAGGAGGAGGAGGAGGAGGAGGAGGAGAGGAGGAGGAGGGGAGGATGAGGAGGAGGAGGGAGGGCGAGGAGGAGGAGGGGGGGGAGGGCGGGAGGGGAAGGAGGAGGAGGAGGAGGGAGGAGGAGGGGGAGGAGGAGGGAGGAGGGGGTGAAGGAGGAGGAGGAGGAGGAGGAGGAGGAGGGAGGGAGGAGGAGGAGGAGGAGGAGGAGGAGGAGGAGAGGGAGGCCGCCCCTTCCTTTTCCGCGTGCTCCGCTCCCGCCGCGCACGGCCGCTCGAGGCCCTTGAGCAGCGCGCGGCCTGCCCGCTCCCCAACCGGGCGGCGGGCACCTCCGCCGCCGGCGGCGGCGGCCTCCGGGGCGCGACCCCCGCGGAGACGCGGCCGCGCCGCGGGTGCCCTCCTCACGGGGCATCCGCGGAAGCACGCCCCTGAAACGACGCGAAGATCGGGACAAGATCGGGTCGGGACAGCTCGAAATCTCTGAGAATCGGCGGGTTTGGAGGATGTTTTGGGCGCCGCGGCCGCTCCAGAGCGTTCCGGAACGCTCTGAGAGCGCTCCGGAACGCTCTGGAGCGATTTATCCCGATCCTGGCCCTGTTTTACACGCCCCAGTGCCCGCGGGGCCGGAGCGCGTTGGGGGCCGGGCCCGCGAGGCCGCGGGCACGGATCGCAGGGAGCCCACAGAGGACGCGCCCGCCTGTGTACATGAGCACGGCCCCTCGATCCCCGGGGCCAGCCGCGCAACGGGAAGATCCGCGCGATGCACACTCTCGGAACCATCGCGAATTCGTGTACGTTTGCAGTGGATGCCAGTCCACAAGAAGCCTTCCACAAGAAACCCAGCCCTGAGACCCAAAGTCGTCCATCGAATTTCGGCGTGGGAATGTCGCGCTTTCCATCGCAAAACCATCGAAACCCAAGAAACCCAGGACACCCTGGAAGCAAGCAGGGTGTCACTTGGCGTGGGTCTCCACTGTAAGTCCTTCTTTCGCTACCGAGATCGGTTTCTCGCCAAGGGTGCCAGCCGCTTCTTCTCGGGCAGAAAAGGCGGCGTCCTCCGAGCCGCAGCCCACGGAGACGGAGGCCTGCGCGCGGGAGGCGGCCGGGCTGCCGGTGGTGAAGACGTACTCCTGGGGGGGGGCGGGCAGGAGGGGGGGAGGGCGGGGAGGGCAGGCGCAGGAGCGGCGGGGGAGGAGCGAGGAGGAGCAGATGCACGGAGCTCGCTCGATCTGGGGGGGGGAGACATTCACTTTTTGTGCGCGTCCCTTTCCCCCCCCGCACCCGTCCCCCCACCCCCCATCCGAGCCTTCACTGCGAGGGGCGCGAAGCAGGAGCGATTTTGCGCGTGCCTTTGGGCCCCCCGCACTCGTCCCTCCCCCCCCATCTGCGCCCTCATCGCGAGGCGCGAGGGGAGCGAAGCAGAAACGATTTTGTGCGTCTCTTTCCACGCCCCGCACTCCCCCCCCCACACATCTGAGCCCCCATTGCGAGGGGGGAAGCAAAGCAGGAATGATGGAGGCGGGGGAAGAGGAGCGGGATGGGCAGAGGGAGGAGGAAGGCGAGGAGGGGCGGGTCTGGTAATCCGTCGGGTGTAGCGGGGCTACTTCGCCGAGGGCCACGGGACACCCACGCGCAGCCAAATGGGCCCCAGCTAAGCCAACAAAGGCTGAGGAGAGCTGTCAGACAAATCGGTAGATCCATCCACTGTCTCACTGCCCAGCCAGAGTTTGCCAGTCATTGAGTCGCGATAGCCTCAAGGTGCAGGCAACAGCTCTTCTGGTGACAAGTCATCATTACTCCCTTGGGGAATGCAGTTGCCCGAAATTGGGACGTGTGACACGTGCCTAGGTGGCTTCAAGAGAGCCACCGATAGCCCAATGCGGTGCCAGAAAAATGCCCCGAGATGGCGTCGAGGTTGTCCACAAGCCACACAGGCATCCCCCCGACAGGCTCACAGCACTGGTTGCCCAAAGAATTGTTCCATGATTGTCGGGTGCTCGCGTGGTCAGCCTCGGATGATCCTCTGGGCCTGTGGGATGTCCCCGTGATGATACATGAGGGCCCCGAGACCTGCTCGGACGGGCCCCGAGAAGGCCGCAACGGCCGCGCACCCAAGATGCGTCAAATATGGGCCCGGGGGTGTTTTCCGCTGCCTCTGCGGAAGTCCGTTCAGCATCCCCGTGGCCGCTACGGCATCATTTTCCAGCTTCTCGTTGGGGCTACGAGCCCGCGCCCAAATCGAGGCCTGACCGACCTTTCAATTCAGCAGATCACGGTTCGGCTTCTACTGTATTATGCACCACTGGTCTTCAAGTCGGACATGCTGCCAGGGTGCCTTCGAGGCGCCTTTTACATCCCGATCGCCTCCGCATCTTTGGTACAAGAATTGGAGGAAGGGCGGAAATGGAAGAAACGGAAGAGGGAGAAGGCTGGGGGAGGAACAAGAAAACATTGAAGACATGGAAGACCCAAAGAAATAGAAGAAATGGAATCCGGAGAAGGAGGATGAGGAAGAGTCGGACGGCCTTCAAGGGCAAGCAAACGAGAGAGTCGGACGGCCTTCCAAGGCAGGACAGATTACGTTTGCAGACAGAGCCGCCGGTCAAAGCCACTATCCGCCTTCTCCTCTCCTCCTTCTCCAGGACGCCCCCCCTTCGTCCCCTCGTCGTCTCTCATCCTCCTCATCACGCTTCCACTCCTCCTGCATCTGATCACTGGGCCTCCTCCTCCTCCTCCTCCTCCTCCTTCTCCTCCTCCTCCTCTGTCCCATTCGCCAGAAAGCTCCTCCTCCTCCTCCTCCTCCTCCTCCTCCTCCTCCTCCTCCTCCCCACGTGGTCACCTTTAAATCCCCAGTGACCTCACAGCGCGGTCCGTCATCGCACGGTCTTGGGGCCCTGGAGGCCCCAGTCGCCCGGGACGTCTTCGGAGAACGACACGAGCCCCAAAGCCGCGAGGTGACCCGGAAGCCCTACAGACTCACCACGCGGTGTGGTCACCACACGGTTTGGGGTGGGGGCACCAAAAAGGTACCGATACAGCTACTTCCTGACCTCGCCTGGGGTGCGTTCTGACCAAGATCTCGAAGCGAATCCAGCGTACGACGAGGGCCTGCCAGGAGGCCCAAAAAGGAGGAGACGAGCGAAGGGTAGAGGTATGGGTACCCTTTCCACCTCTGAGTTTGGGCCCCCCCGAGATCCTACTAGGAGGAGGAGGAGGAGGAGGAGGAGGTGGAGGAGGGGGAGGAGGAGGAGGGGGAGGAGGAGGGATCAAGGGCCACTACAAAGGGCCCAGTAGGAGGCAGGCCACCAATAGGCGGCTCTGGTTTGAATATTGGCGCGTCTTGGGGACTCGAGAGGGCCATCTGATGTACCTCAAGGTCAAGAGTCATGCGACTGTCCCCGAGATGCGCGCGCGTTTTCCCGAATGGGCCCTTTTTGTCAATGACCAGGCAGATCGGCTCGCGAGCGAAGCCGCTGCCCAAGCTGCTGTGCCCGCTGACCTAGCGCAGAGAGTGCTGGCCCTCGACACCCTCAGCGAACAGATCAGAGGGCGACTAGCAGCGGTCCAAATGTTGTGGTGGACACATTTTCCAGTTGCAGAAGAGAGCGTCGAATGCAAGAGCGCTCGCAGACGCGAGCGGAGCGAACGTGCCCTGCAGCATCTGCTCTCACACACACACCCCACTGGCCCCGCGTCAGCGAGACGCAAGTTTCTTGCTCGAGATGTGGGAAGCAGACCCACAGGAGGTCATGCGCCAGGTGGCTCCGTACCCGATGCCCAGGCCCAGCCAGTGGCATGGCCCAAGGGAGTGGAAGCCACAGTGGGGGAGTAGTGCCCAGTTGTGAATTTACGGAAGGCGACGGACCCGCCCTCCATCCCAGCCACCGACCCCATCTCGCCATCTGTCGCGGGGTTCTCTGATGTCGGCGATGCGGGTGTTGGCGGGTTCGGGCCTCCAAGAAGTTTCGTGCCCCCTGTGCCCCACCCAGCAACAGCCAGAGTGGGGGTCACAAGGCCCTTTTGAAGCTCACCAAGGGGAAACTGCCTCCAGGGTTAAAGGCCTGGCCAGGAGCAGACCCGTGAGCACGCATAGTCCTCCTGGAGTGCAGGGATCGGACTGGCCGAGGCGGCGTGCGCGGAGGAGGAGGAGGAGGAGGAGGAGGAGGAGGAGGAGGAGGAGGAGGAGGAGGAGGAGGAGGAGGAGGAGGGAGGAGGAGGGGGAGGCAGGAGGAGGAGGGGGAGGAGGAGGAGGGGAGGAGGAGGAGGAGGAGGAAGAGGAGGAAGGAGGAGGGAGGAGGAGGAGGAGGAGGAGGGAGGACGGGGAGGAGGAGGAGGAGGAGACGGGGGACGAGGAGGGGCACGAGGAGGAGGAGGGAGAGGAGGAGGAGGAGGAGGAGGAGGAGGATGCGGCTTCCCAGAGCGCTCCTCGTCCGCAGGGGCCCCCTCGCTGGGCCAGCCGTTGAACATGGCGCCCTGGAAGGCGCCGCTCGCGAACGCGCTCGCCTGCGCGCGGGTCCGCGGGAGCGGCCTCCGCTCCGCCTGCTGCTGCTGCTGCCCTTGGTTCGGCACGCCTTCGGGCGACGCCGCGGGAGGACACCTCATCATGGGAAGAAGGCAAGAAGAAGAAGAAGAAGAAGAAGAAGAGGAAGAGAAGCAGTACGAAGAAAGCAAGCCAGCACCACGAGACTCAAAGAAGTAAGAGTAAGAAGACGGAAAGAAGAAGGAACAAAAGAATGTACGAAGTAAAGACGAAGAAGAAAGACGAATAAGAAGAGGACGAAGGAAGAAGATAAGAGGAGGACTCACGAATAATTAACAGAAAATAAGACCGAATATAGAATCATCACGAATACTACTACCACGCCTACTCATACACCTCTCATCAGTCATAAAGCTCCTCCCCCTCCTACTCCCTCGCCTTCCTCCTCCTCCTCCTACTCGTCCTCCTCCTCCTCCTCTTCCTCCTCCTCCTCCTCCTCCTCCTCCTCCTCCTCCTCTCCTCCAGACGCCCGGCGTCTCGACCTTTTTTGCGCCGAGGCGCGGGGCCCGCGCTCGAGCGACACCCCCCGCTCTGCACAGCTCTCTCTCTCGCGGCTGGCCGACGGATGACTAGTCGCTCTGGTGAGCCGTGCCATGCCATGCCCTCCCCGACAGGGAGAGGGGAGACCCCTTCCCCCCCCCGACGCGCGGGACACCGTTTTACTGCGGCCAAGCGTAGGGAAGTGCCGCCAAACGGCTCCTGAGTGGCGGCGCGCGGGCGCTCTTCCCCCTTCTCCCTGTCAGCCCAGCATGCCCAGCCCTACCCTACCCAAAGCCGGGGCAGGCTAGGCACTCCTCCGCGTCCCCCCCGTCCCTCGATGGGGGCAAATGAGGATCCGGAGGAGGGACGGGGAGGGGGAGGGGGAGGGGGGAGCTGAACCACCCAACCCTACTCATCGTCCCTCCTTCCATGCATTCATACACACGCCGATTCAGTATGACTGCGACTCCCCTACCCCAGACCATGTGCGAGCTGAGCTCCCCTTCCCCCGCATGCCTATACTCCCACCAGTCGGAATTCAACACTGATGTGTCATATGTGCATTGTTGTCGGAGTACGCCTGATGATCGAAAGCGGTGCTCCCGCTGCACCGCTGGCCTCGTTTCAGGACAGGCGCGCTGCTCCCTTTTTTTCAGAGTGGCACTCTCCCCTCCTCTTTCTCGATGTCCCCATGCCTGTTTCCTCTAATGTCCGCCCACCTGTCTCCATCCTTCCCAGCCCCCCTCTCTCACGAGCGGCCTCTTGCGAACCCGCAGGCACACAGCGCACTGGAGCCAAGCAATCCACAACTAAGACATCCTAAAACCATCCGGGGGCGAATCTGCTCAACTAAGACATCCCAAAACCATCCGTGCGCGTCGTACTCAATTCATCTTCCGTGCCTTGCGTGGCACCGCGCGCCCAAGATCTGCTACATGGAGTGTAGAGACATTGGGTTGCGCAGGTACTCCCAACATCTACGCCAAAGCCTTCCTCCCAAATTTGCGCCAAAACTCTCGACCAGCGAAGGCAAAGTCCAAGCAGCCCCAGGCAGCATCATATTCACATCACATCGCTGGAGTCACATTGACCAATGGATACGGATACATCCATACTGGGGCACTACTTTCCATGGCGCGATGCCTTCACTGCCCTTCTGGGCAACATCACTGTGTACTCCGTGTTGCGCATGAGAGGATACTTCGGCTGGATCTTGAGGACCTCCCCGCTTACAACCACAGAGGCCTGCACGGGGGGCTCGCGGACTTCGCAGCAGAGCGCGACAACAACATCAACTGTTCACGACACATCAGCAGGCACGTGAGAGAAAAAGCGTATTGACGCACACATTCGCCAGCATACTTTTCACGGAAGCGGCGTAATGAGACTCCAATCGAGTGGTGCAGGTGCAACGGCCGGTGCAGATGGAGGAAATTAACACATTGCGACTCGGGGAACTGCTCAAATCGCAAAGGGCAAAGCATCACCGATTCCCGCGTTCACAAACACACATACACACCGAAGCGCACATACGTGTCTGGTTGGCTCGGTTGATCCTGGTCTCTGCTCGTCTGGAAAGTACCACAGCCTGCAACTAGAAACACAGTGGACCGCTGGCGAGAAAGACGAAACGAAGAGGACTAAGCGGGGCAGAGCAAGCAAGGCAAGTGCTGGACAAGGAAGAATACTATGCTTGGGCAGCGCACTGGCAATATGCAAGGCAGGAGCGTCATGGGCGCCACCATGCGGGGGGGCATGCTCGACCGCCTAAAACTCGCCCACGAGGAGGGGGAGGGGAAACCATATCGTCAACTCGCAGACTGTGCACAGATTGCCTGCCCTCCACCCTCGTGCCCAAGGCCTTCATCGGACGAGATTCAGCAGCAAACCAAGCAACTCAAGCATAAGGCAATCCTTCGCGCAACCACGCGGGTGTATATTCACCACGCCGCGTTTGCATCATGGGGCCTTATGTGTTCCCTGACTTATGGACTAGCGGCTTTCTGCCTCGTGCCTCTGGCCAGCGGTCTCTTTCCAAAAAAGGGAAAGAGGATCAACACCCCTCCCCCTCCCGAGCCGGGGCTTCAGAGCCCCCCTTTTCACATCGCAATGTGCATCTGATTCTGCCTCATCGCGCACTTCCCCTACGTATCCATACATTTTCAGCCGACTGGTTATCGCCCCCCCCCCACCACCCTCTCAAAGAATACCATGCGAACTCGATTATTGCACAAGAGAGTTTCCAACACTCGCCCGCAAAAAAAGAATGGCACAACGTCCGCACGCGCGCACGCACTTGTCAGAGCAGCGCGCGTCAAACAGCACAAGCCACGCCCCAACGCACATGCGCGTACAGATGTAGCGTATGTGTGTCTGCATTTACACGCTTTCCATCACAACTCGGGCAAGTCCTCTGCCCGCGCGCATTTACTCGAATCACTTGCAAGCTATAGAATCGGAGCAAATCCTTCAATATCCCTCATTTTCAGGTCACCGCGATGTGTTTCCGCGTTGATCGAAAATGCGGCCCATGCGCGAGCCCGTATCACATAAAACCATGCGGGCCACACGCGCACGTCGGAATCCGTCCAAAACACAGTTGTGATCGAAGCATGTCAAGATGGAGGTCTAACAAAAACACAACATGTGCAACAATAGCAACACTGTCTACCTACGTCTGCCAAATTTCTCGCAATCGGGCGCGCGGACTTCCTCAACATCATCCTCATCAGCGCCATCGCATCACCGCCGTTACCTTCATCGCCAATCGCCGCCATTGCTGTCATCACAAATCAATCCCCGTCATCACCGACTCATGGACAACACCATCTGCATCGTCGTCAACGGCATCGGCGCCGTCGTTGGCCTTGCAATTGCCAACGTCATCAATGCCAACACCATTGCTATCATGATCCTCGTTTCTACCTTTGCCGACGTCATCATGATATCGTGCACGCTCGAATCAACGATCCGCACGGACATGCCTGAGCGCCAGCGCGGCCTTTGAGAGGCGCTGGGAAATTCCCATCGGCAAGCGTCATGGCGGCCGCGGCAGCTGGGCCCAACCAGCTGGCCGCTCTCAGCGCGAGCTTGCGTGTGCCAGCGCGACTATACATATGCGCCAGCCAGTGCCAACATTAAACCATAATCGCTGACGAATGGCACGCGACTCCGAAAGGCATCCAAGAAGCCTCTAGCTCACAGAGGCTCACCGAAGTATCCCAATGATGCCACACTCCCCCGAGAAGAACAGCGTCCTTAGGCATCGTTTCGGGATGGGCTGGTGGGGATACTTTTTTGGTTCGCGGCTCCAATGCAAAGGTCAGGGAGCGGACGCAGCGTCCAGGATGCGGAACGGAGCGAATTTGCGAACCCAGCTGTCACTGTCGACAGCCGTCCGCACCTGCAAGCATGCTCGCAGTTGCACATGCACAGTACAAAATGAACTAAATTCGCAGACAAACGCACGTAGGCGCAGCAGCGAACCGAAGGGCACGAGCTACAAGTGCGAAGACAGCAAAGTGAGTCGCCGATGCGGCGCCAGACTCGTGCTGACAGTGCGAAAGCGGGCGAGCGACCAACACACACAAGGCGAAACCATGTACAATGGTGAGGGAAAAAAAGGCCTGTCGCAACTAACTCACTGACGCCACAAGATGGGTGGACCACGTAGAAGCCTTCAGAAGAAGAAACTCTGATGAGCACTAGCGAAGAGTCAAGAACTCGGCAACGGCTAAGCAGGTCAAACGCAATGTTCTCAATGACGCCAAGCAGAAACAACACAAGACAAGGCAAGATCAAGAAAAAAGGCAAGGCAATACAAAACAAGACAAGACAACACAAGAAGCTACGGACAATACATAATGGAAAAAACTGGGAGAAACACGAAATTGCCCCAGCACAATCCAACACATTTGATGGGATATCATGCGGGTAAGTCATCGCGCCTAACGGGCATTCCGACCCAGCAATTTGCCGTGTGATTGGCCCGCCTGGCTGCTGCTTGACGGCGCTTGCAAGGAACAACCCTTCTCGCGCCCGTACGGATTCTGCACACACATCGGCATGAATATGACCATGTGGCGAATGCCGACCGACCTACCGCTCGTTCGCTTCCCCCATTCTTCGTGCGATACCACGGCGAGGTGACCACGGGCGCCGGCCGACAGGTTGGCTCAACGCGAAGACTACCACAGACTTGTTAAAAATCGCCCCCGCCACTCTGCTCGCAGGCTCAGCAGGGCCCAACGGCCCAACAGGCCCGAACTTCGCAGTCTACCACTCTTCTGCGTCCCTTCTTTTTCCCCCCCCACCCGCACTTTATCTGCCCTGAGTTTCGCATTGGAATGCTCACCCACACCGTCAGGGGCCGTTGCCTACAGCGTCTCGCGGCGCCCCCCTCCGACGCGCCCTGCTTTTTTGCGCACGCCGACAGCATGCCGCTCCGCTTCATGGCACGGGGGGCTGGACAAAAGCTCGGGACGCCGAGGCACGGGGCGTGCTACCCAGACATCCAAAGCGTTGACAAAAAATCACGACGGAGGTTTGTCCCAGTTTGCGGCCTCCAGGGGGCCCTTGCCGGGCGCCGGGACCGTCAAGAAACGACTCAGGAGGAAAAACCGGTCCTGGGGAATGGGTCGAGACTTCCTGGGGCCCCGCATTGCAAAAATCACGCCATCGGATCTCTGGGTAAGCGTGCCGTGCCGAAGCTTGGCGGGCCAGAAGCCGCGGCGCGGCGACCGAAGCAGACGCTCCCTGGCCTCGGGAGACCTCCACGCCGCCGCCCTGCCCCGGCCAGACGACGAGCCCCAGACAGGATGGCGCCGGCGCTCCGGGCGAGCCGCCGCCGAGCCGACGAGGCCCCAGGGTGGGAGCGCCCCATGCCCCCCCCCCCCGTACCCCCGCCCCCCCCCCCCCCACCGGCCCCCCCCATCCCCCCCCGCCTGCGGGCCCGCCGCCCTCCCACCTCCCCAGCCCCAGCCCGCAGGGGCCCCACCGCCCATGGCCCCCCCCCCCTCCCCCCGGCCCTCCCCCTCGCCCCATCTTCCCCTCGCCTGCAGGACCCGCCGCCCTCCCACGCACTCTCCCCAGCCCCACCGCCCCACCGCCCCCTTCGACGGAGAGGCGCGGCGGCGCAGCTGGATCCCTGCGCGGAGGGCGGGCCGATCACGGGAGCCCCTGGACGAGAAGGGCGGGGGCGAGCGGGGGGGGGGAAGGACAGTGACGGGGGACGCGGCGACCAAGATCTCCGACTTGTGGGGTGTCCGATGGGGCAGCAGACAAGGATGGGCCCGAGCTCGTGGATATACGGCGGGAGGGGCGCCCATCCTCCATAGGGCTGCGTCCAGATAGCCAGAGGGGTGCATCCCCGAGCCCCCCCTTTCCTTTAGAAAAGGCCTGATACTTGGGGAGGAGGAGGAGGAGGAGGAGGAGGAGGAGGAGGAGGAGGAGGAGGAGGAGGAGGAGGAGGAGTCGCCTGCGAAGCCAGGCAAACGGGGGGGGGGGCTGGAAGGGAGCCGAAGCGAACGTGAGGAGCGGCTCCCCCAGCGGCTCTGGGGCGGCCAGCACAGGAACATGCAACAGTGAGCAGAGCGAGGGACCGACAGGGCAGTTTTTAACTCATTGGATTTTTAAACATATACGATTTTTAGTACATGAATACTTTATGAATAAATGTATGCATGAATTCGTCGTTGTTTTTTCAAACTGAATCCTGAATTTTTCTACATGATCCGCACGCGGAGCATGTATTAAGGACGGCACTGGAGGGTGAAGAGCGAGGGGACGAAGGAACGAGTGCCTCCTGCACCTCCTCTTCCGCGACGGCAAGTCGGGAGCGAGCGAGCTAGCTGAACTCGACTCCCACCCAATTCCTCGGGGGCTGCCTCTCGACGGAGCTCACTCTTGCCAGGAACGTTTCTTCGCGGGTATGGAGCGCACAGCTGCCCTGGGGAAACTCTCAGGGATCAAGGAGAGGCAGCGAAGAATGTGACCGAACAAATCGGCAGCGCAGGCGCAGAAGCGCAGGAGCCTGGTCTCCCACGCTGAAGGTCTGGCAAACGAACGGAACAGGCACCCCGAACTCAGGACTCGTCTCGTCCTTAGATCACCGCGGAAAGGGGACACCTCACCCTGCTCCTCCTCCTCCTCCTTCACGATAGCGCCAGGAGCCCAGGAAGCAATGCCGCAATGCCATTTACACACACGGAAACCAAGTCAATCTGGCAAAGCTGCTATGCTTGATACACGGTGAGGGGAAGAAACTGAAAACGAGGAGAAACCCGAAGACACTGTTCTCAACTCTCCGGTTTCCCCACAACTCGCCTCCTGTGAAATTGCGGACGATTGGCAAGCGAGGCAGACAGAAAACGGACAGTAGAGGGAGACATAGAGAACGAACAACAGAGACACAGAGTGATAATCAATGAGCAAGAGAGGGAGAGAGAACGCAATAAAAATGCATACATACGTACTTACATGCATGCACATATACATACATACATACATACATACATACATACATACCTACCTACCTACCTACCTACATACATACATACATACATACGTGCATACATACATACATACATACATACATGCCTCCCAACATATAAACTGACCTACCTATACATATACATACATACATACATACATACATACATACATACATGCATGCATGCATGCATACATACATGTACAGAAGAAGGATATCTACACTTGACCTCTAATTGTGTATAGGATACACGGGTCATGGCTTAAAACGCACGACACATCCTTCTGGCTGTGTCCTGCACAGAGCTCGCCAACAGGGCTCGTCGCTTCCGGAAAAGGCACAGCCGCCGCACTCCTCCCAGACAACACCTCTCTGAACCGCTACCCGAACCTCGGTGCACTGTGCTGCAGCCGGTGGCCCGAGATCTCCACCAGCCCTCGCACGTCCTGGCCCCGCGACCCCTGCTGCCGTCGGCTTCGGCCTCCCATGGAGGGGGGTCTGCGCGGCGTCAGCGTTCGACGGGCAGTTCTTTTGCGGCGGCAGCCGTGTTGCCAGGGTGTCCCGCTGCAGGGGTCGCTCGGCCGTCCGCGCCAGGGCGCCCAGCTCCGCAGTGGAAAACGCTCTGGCACGCAAACATCGATATTTTTAGTCTCGGCCGAGAGCTTCCGCCCTTTCCTTCGCCGCCCTGCCGCGGCTCTCCGCGGGCCCCTGGCGAGAACGAGGTGCCACCGCCCCTCGGCTCTCGGAGCAGAGGCCCTGCTTGGGACGGCCCCGCCCCTGTGACTCTTGAGCGCGGCGTGCTGAGGAGGGGCGATCCATGGGGGAGGGGGCCACGACGCGTGCACCTTCCGCGCCTCTTTTAATCCCCAGGGGCCGCTCTAGGCCTCGAGAGGTGCACCGTTCTTCACCCCCCCGTCCATCGCCCCCCCCCATTGCGCAACACCCGAGGGTACTGCCCCTGCGAGGTGCCGACGTCGCCCTCCCCTGAGGCAACTGGCGCCGCCCACTGCTGCCGCCTGGGCCACGCGCTCGCCGGTCGATCTCCGAGCACGCCGTCCGTCACTGCGGAGCGGGCTGTGGCTTGTCGCGCATCGGTGGCACCACCCAGGACCCAGGACACCAGGTTGAAGAGGAAGAGCGGGGCAACAATGAGAGCGAGGACGAGGAGTGGTAGGAAGAGAAGGACAACTGGGACCGGGAGCAGGAGGGGGGCGGCGGCGGCGGAGCGGGGACAGGAGGAACGAGAGAAGAAGGGGCATTTGTTTTGTATTGAGGCCCCTTGGAGGCCGCCAAAGTCCCCACAGTTGAAGAGAACATCTAGAAACCTCGGACCCATATTCTCCCACCCTCCCTGCTTCGTGGGAGATCAAGAGACGGCAGGCTGGAGGATAAGGAGCGGGCGGAACGCAGGGACGTCGCCCCAGCATAACCACCCGCTGGATGCGGCAGATTATTCCCCATCCTCCTCCTCCTCCTCCTGCTCCTCCTCCTCTTCCTCCTCCTCCTCCTCCTCCTCCTCCTCCTCCTCTTCCTCCGCCTCCCTCCCTCCCTCCCTACCTACCTCCCTCCCTCCTTTGTCCCTCCCTCCCTCCCTCCCTCTCCACACCACCTCGCATCTCCTATGCAAAACACACCAGATCTGCTCCTCCTCCTCCTCCTCCTCCTCCTCCTCATCCTCGTCCATTTCTCTCCTCCTCCTCCTCTCCTTCCTCTTCCCTCCTCCTCCCTCTCCTCCTCCTCCTCCTCCTCCTCCATATTCTCCTCCTCCTACCCCTCCTCACGTCCTCCTCCTGGGTCCTCCTCCTCCTCCGCCTCCTCCTCCACGTCATATCCCTTCTTCCTCTCCTCCTCCCTCCTCCTCCTCCTCCTCCTTCTCCTCATCCTTCTCATCCTCCAGCTCTCTCCTCCTCCTCCTACTCGTACTCATCCTCTACTATTACTCCTCTTCCTCCTCCTCCTCCTCCAACTATTCCTCCTCCTCCTCTTCTCTTGCTCATCCTTGTCCTCCCTGTCATTATTCTCCTTCTCCTCCTCCTCCTCCTCCTCCTCCTCCTCCTCCTCTCCTACCCGTCATTCCCTCGTCCTGCTCCTCCGCCCTCCTCCCTCCTCGTCCTCCTCCTTCTCCAACTCTTCCTCCTCCTTCTCCTCCTCCTTCAACGCCTCCTCCTCCTCCTCCTCCATTTCCTCCTCCTCCTCCCCAAGGACGACGACCACCACCACCACCACGACAGCAGCCGACGGTGGCGGCGACGGCGACGACGACGCACCCGGCCGCGCCGCCGCCGGGGCCCTGACCCCGCTCGCCGTCTTGAGGCCGCCGATGCCTCCGGCGCTGCGCGCCGCCCTCTCCCTCTGCCCAGGCACGCAGCGCGGCCAGCGTCCTCCCTGCCGCTTGCCTCCTACCGCCTCCCCTTCCCCCCTCTCTCCGCCCCCTTCGGCCTCCTCCCTCAGCCCCCATCGGCCTCCCTCCGCCTGCTCGGCCTCCTGCTTCTGTCCCTCTTTTTTCTCCACGCCTCCACGCCCCTCCCTTCCCCCACCGTATCCCCCCAAGCTCGAGCCGCAGCCGCAGCCGTGCTGCCCCCTTCCGCACGCGTGCTCGCCTGCTCCGGCACGGGCCGAGCGCGTCGCACGCCATGCAGGGCCGGGGCCCTCGGGCCAGGGCCGCGCGGCGGCGGGCGGCGCACGCGGCGAACTGCTCCCGGGAGCGCTGCCGGGAGCATCGGGCTGTGCTGGCCTGTCTCCGCCCCCCGGGCCCGGGCCTGTGGCGCCGCGGGCCCCCGGGGCCGAGCCCCGCCGCCCCCCGCCCAGAGGGCCTCCTCGTGAAAGGCCGCGGGGGGGCCTCCCTCGTCCGGGCCGCCCGTGGGGCCCTGCCCCACGGCTGCTGGAGGAGGAAGCGGAGGAGACGAGGCGCAGACGCGCAGCGGCGGGCCCCCGCCTCCGAGGAACATCTGGGGAGGAGGAGGAGGAGGAGGAGGAGGAGGAGGAGGAGGACGAGGACGAGGAGGAGGAGGAGGAGGAGGACGACGAGGAGGAGGGGGAGGAGGAGGAGGAGGAGGGAGGAGGAGGAGGTGGAGGAGGAGGAGGAGGAGGAGGAGGAGGAGGAGGAGGAGGCGGAGGAGGCGGAGGAGGAGGAGGAGGAGGAAGAGGAGGAGGTGGCTGTGTTATGAAACGGCCGAGGGGCCGAGAGCCTGCAGACGCCTCGCGCTCGCGTGCGCGCGCTGCAGGCGGCTGCGCCGGTGCTCGGCGCCTCGCCCTGGAGCCAGCGGCCCATCGGGAGCCATCGCCCTCTCTTCGAGGGTCGCCCCTGGTCCCGCTCCTCCTTGCGAGGCGGGGAGGTATCCACATCCACCGCCTGGGAACCGACGTCCTGGTGCCCCAGCGGGCGATGGACATGGACACATCTCGGCCCCCGAGGGCCCGAGCATGTCAATATCCACCGCCTGCCGAGACTCCGGAGACTGACCCTCCAGGCGGTGGTCACGTATAAATTCCCGCCTCGGACTTCTGTGGTTGCTGGCTCTCCCCCCGCCAGGGGTCTGGACCCTGGTCACGAGAAGTATGTCGTGAGCACTCGCTCTGGTTCTCCCCGCATGCTTACTTTTTGGTGCCTGCCGCCACTTCCGTACGCTTCGTAGGCCTCCGTGGTGTCTAGCTTCCTCTTGCCCATCGCGTTTGTAGTTTCTGCCCTCGGGGCAGCTGCCACCTGCCTAATAATGGGCTCTCGCCCCCTGTCCCTCTCTCTCTTTGCACCGTCTTGGCGGTGGCCCACGCGGCAGCCTACTTGGCTCTGGCGGCGCCCGCCGTCGAGCATCGAAGACGCACAGATCGAAGTCGCGCGTCACGTCAACACCCGTCGCCACCCCGTAATCCCCCCTCTCTCCCTCTCCCCGTCCGCCCTTCTTGCTCCTCCCGCGCCGCGGGGAGCTCTCCCCTCGCCCGCCCGGCCCACGGAACTCCGCAGAGGCAACGGAAGGGGTGGTGGGCAACGTGCCGTCCTTCTCCTCGTCCTCGATCTCGCCTTCTCGTCCTCGCCATCTTCGTCCGCGCTTTCATTCTTCCACTCCCTTTTCCTCCTGCCCATCCGAAGAGGAGGAGGAGGAGGAGGAGGAGGAGGAGGAGGGGAAGAAGGGAACGTCGACCATGCTGGTAGAGTGCAGCGTGAGGGCATCGGGGCACTTCCCGAGGTCTCGGCTTCCCAAAGGTCTCCTGAGGCTCTCGGGAAGTCTGCGATGGCCTCAGATCCAGGAGCTCTCCAGGGACCCAAACAGGACCGCAACCACGTCAGATAAAAAATCCTCCCGACCCCTCCTGTCCTGGGGAGGGAAGGAAGTTTGGGGGAGGCGGCGGGTGGGAGGGGAACGACAGGCGGAGGGAGGATGAGGACGAAAGAGGAAGGAGGGACGGAGGAGGGAGGAGGCGGAGGCTGGCTGGAGGGAGGGAGGAAGGAGCACGAGAGGAGGACGTACGAGGAGGCCGGAAGAGGAGAGGAGGAGGGAGGGAGGGAGAAGGCTGGCTGGAGGCCTCAGAGGGCGGACTGTGGTCCCGCGGGGCCAGGGCCTCGGAGGCTGCACCCGATGAGGTCTCGCCTGCAAGGGCGGAGAGGAGGGATTCGGACAAAAACACACGGGATGCGGCACAACACACATCGATGACGACGACCACGACGGCGACGGCGACGCTGACGGCGACGGCGACGGCGACGGCGACGGCGAGGCGACGGCGGCAGGCGGTGCACTTGTTTCTGTGTGTGTGTTTTTCCGCATCTCGCTGTGTGTTTGTCCGCATCCTCTTGCTCGTGTTACCCGCATCCCCTCATGTTTTTGTTCCCGCATCCCGTTGTGTGTGTGTGTGTGCGTTCCGCATCCCATTGTCCAGCTCAGAGGGCGATAGGGAGGGAGGAGCCGAGACAGAGGACAGGGGAGGATAAGGGATAGTGAGGGGTTGTGGGAGACAGAAGGAGGTTGATAAAAAAAAACAAGGGGAACGGCAGGACGAGGTAAAGGACGAGGCACCCACAGCCCAGGCGTGGACACCCCGTGCGGCATTCGCACCCCGCTGGCCTGCCGTGACCGCCGGTGCCTGGGTGCCTTTGGCCGAGATGTCGACAGCGGCGCCAACCCTGGCGTGCAGCCCACTGGAGCTTCCAGGGGACAATGCGCCAAGCTGGAGTAAGGTTGTGGATGCCACGACAATGGACACCCCAACAGTCCTATCATTGAATTAATAATGTGTTTAAAATGTGTAGAACATGTTCTAAACATGTTTCAAGCATGTTTTTACACATGTAAAACATATTTGGAACATGTTTTAGACATCTGGGAACTACTTGGCAGCATGCTTCCTCTCCTTTCATCGACTTCCACAAGAGTAGGCGTGGGCGTGGGCGGAGGAGAAGGCCGGGGCACACGCCCGAGCCCACGGAGGATGCCTGTCTCGGTGGGGAAGAAGGCGAACTGGCCGTACTCGGTTAGGTACAGGCAGACCTGCCCCGACGAGCCGCGGGGTGACCGGGCCGCGCTGGGGGGAGGGGCGGGGCGAGGAGGAGGGAGAGGAGCGGGCCGAAGAAGGAGATGGGGGAGAGGAGCGGCACGCTGTGGACGACACCTCTCCCTCAGCGCGACTGCGCAGGTGGGTCAGTAACGGTTCTCGGGACGAAAGGGCCGATGGGTCATTCGTTGGTCCAGGGCACGCGGCTGAAATGGGGTTCCGCGGTGCGGATTGCTGCGGCGTTGTTGCGTTGTTGCGTTGTTGTTGAGCTCCCAGTCCTACACATACTTGTTGATCAGCTCCTTCTGGTAACCATGCTATTTTCAATCGCAGTGCTGCTCCCGGGGCTCGCACCCGGCTTTTACAAAAGGAAATGAAATGTCATTAAACTTTGCCCTTGGCCCCTGGCATACAACAACAGCGGCTTCCGCTTGACACTTCCTCACCAAATATTCGCAGATCGCGCTCTCTCGCGTGACTTCGCAATTTGTATAGGAATCGCGCTCTCGCGCACTTCCTCGCAATTTCTTCAGACGCAGCGCCCGCGACACTCAGGAATCACGCTCTCGTTGTGAAATTCTTCACGGTTGTTTTGGGAATCGCGCTATCGGAAGGAACTTCCCCGCGATTCATGCAGGACGGACGCTTCAGCAATCCGCCTGCTCATTGTCTCTTCCTTCCATGCGTCCTCTCTTCCTCTGCTTTCAGGGCCACACGCAAAACACGTTGCATGTAATAAAGATATACCCCTACGGGGACGCAATCAAAGAAAACAAAGGCGGGTATCAAAATGTTTGGATGTACGTGTTACATGGCACGCGAACTAACAAAAAAAAAAACGACCAATATTAGCCTGATATGTGTTGTTGGTGTTGTTGCCGTTGTTGTCAGTGCTGCTGCTGTTGTTGAACCTGTATTTCTACATGCGTACATATTGTGAGAGAGCGCGTTTCACGGGCGCTTGCCTTGGGAACATTCGGCGGCGCGTTTCAAACCGGGGGGTGGCCCCCCCCACCCCACAAACACTCGGAACCGTCGATCAAAACCAGGGGGGGCCCCCTCCCCCACAAAACCCCCCCCTCCCGAACCCCCCCCCGCCCTCCCAAAGGGGGGGGAGGGTTCAAACCCCCCCCCCCTCGGCGCCGCCGGCGCCGGCGCTGGCGGTCGCCAGCAGCGCCCAAGGCGGGGACGCAGCCCATGGGGGGGGGATCACCCCCCCCCCTAAAGGAAGGGGGGGGGTTCAAACCACCCCCCTCGGCGCCGGCGCTGGAAGCGGCCAGCAGCGCCGGCGCTGGCGCCGGCGACGGCTGGGACGCAGCGGCGATGACCACCACTACCACCACCACCACCACGACCACCACCACCACCGCCTCAACCCACCATCACCACCACCACCACCACCACCAACCCACCACACACCACCACCACCACCACCACCACCACCACCAACAACAACAACAACAACAACAACACTACACAACCACCACCACCACCACCACCACAGCCACCACCACCTCCGCAACTCACCACCGCAACCCACCATCACCACCACCACCACCACAAAAACCCATCACCACTACCACCACCACCACTCTACCACACCACCACCACCACCACCGCCACAAACACCACCACTACCAGCAGCACAACCCACCGCCACCACCACAAACCACACCACCACCGCCACAACCACCACCACCAACCCACCACCACCACCACCACCACGGTCGTCCTCGTCGACGCTTCCCGCCACCGCCGCCCGCCGCCGCAGGCGCCGGCGCCGGCCAAGAAATGGAAATCGTCGTCCCTGCCGCCGTCGCCAGCCGCCGCCGACTCAAGCGCAGCGCCGGCTCGATGAGAGGGAAAGCAGGAAGGGGAGGGTTCGAACCCCCCCCCACCTCCGTCACGAGAGGGGGGGGGCGGGTTCGAACCCCCCCACCCTCCATCACGGGAGGGGGGGGGGGAGAGTTTTCGACCCCCCCCCTCCATCCAAGGTGGGGGGGGGTTCGGTTCCACCCCCCCCCCCTCCAAGCGACCACAGAACGCGCTCTTTCCATATTATTGGTCCCACCTTCTGGGGCACCTGGTATTTTTTGTGAATTATTAAGGTGCTCCTCCCGGGGCTCGTACGGTGATTTTAACCAGGGAAAACAAATGGTCACCAAACTGAGCTCCTTGCCCCCGAATTACATCAACAACAGCACCCGCGTGAAACTCTTCCTCGCAGTGGATTCAAAATCGTGCTCTCTCGCTGGATTTCCTTGCGGAATATGCAGGGATCGCGCTCTCGCGTGGGGTCTCTGCGTAATTACTTCAGATGCCGCGCCCTCGACACTCAAAAATGACGCTTTCGCTTTGGCCCTTCTCACGGTATACTTGGGAATCGCGCTATCGCGCAGGAGTTCCCAGCGATTCATGCAGTCCTCACGCTTAGCAGCACGCCTTCTCGACCTGGCCGCTGGGGCCCGCCTTCCCGACCCGCCCGTTAGGGTCCAATCCGCCCGATGGGCCCGTCTGGTTCTGCCACGTGTTTGCAGTTCCTAGCCCCCTTCCTGCTAATCCTGTGGTCCGTCCTTCTCCCTCCCCCTTCCATCCGTCCTCTCTTCCCCCGTTTCAGGGGCCGCGTTAATTCCAGGCGGCAGGTATGGAAGATAGACCTCCAGAGGGGGTACGATCGAAGAGGAAGAGGGCGGGTATCGTGGGTTTGGGATATACGTGTTGAATGGCACGCGAGCAGGTAAGAGCTAACAATCTGAAACATGTTGTTGTTGTTGCTGTTTGATTTTCGCTTCTGAAAAAAACTATTGTTGATCCCCCTCCAGTAACCACTCTACTTTTCAGCGAAAGAGCTTCTCCCGGGGCTCGCACCCCGTTTTTTACATGGGAAAGCGAGGGGCCACCAAAGCCCGTTGTCGGAGCCCGAACTACAACAACAACGGCTCCCGCCTCACACTTTCTCAAAAGTCAGTCCAAACTCGCGCTCTCGGGCGGGACTCCCTGACAAGATATGCATGAATCGCGCTCTCGCATGATATCTCCTCCAACGCTGCGCCCGCGAAACTCAGGAATCACGCTCTCGTTGTGGAGTTCTTCACGGTTTCTTTGGAATCGCGCTATCGCAAATAACTAATGCATGCAGGACGGACGCTTCAGCAACCCGCCTGCCCCTTGTCTCTTCCTTCCATCCGTCCTCTCTGCCTCTGCCTTAGGGTCTGCACGACATGCATGTTGCAGGTCGGCAAGATTTAGCCCGAAAGGGGCACAATCGAAAACGAAGAGTGCGGGCATCGTGGGTGTGGTAAAAACGTGTTGAATGGCACGCGAGCAGGTCAGCGCGAACAGTTGTAAAATGATAGTTGTTGTTATTGCTACTGCTGTTGTTGTTGGTTTTGATACTGTTCGTGGCTGTTGTTGTCAAATTTCTACTCTTGAATTCGAATCATTGTCAATGCCCCACCGCCGGTGCCCATAGTTTTTTTCAATTGTGCCCCCCCTCGGGGCTCGCACCTGGAGTTTTTACAAAAAAGGAAAGCCTCCGTGCTCAAACTGTGCCCGTGGCCCCCCCAACAACCATGGCTCCCGCCGGATACTCCTCAGAGTGTATTCAGAATCGCGCTCTCGCGCGATACTCCTTCAAAGTTATGCAGGAATCGCGCTCTCGCGTGGCACTTCCTCGCAATTGATTCAGGCACCGCGCCCTCGACACTCAGGAACGACACTCTCACTTTGGGGCCTTTCTCGCGGTGTACTAAGAAATGGCGCTGTCGGTCGAGACTCCCCCGCGATTCATGCAGGACTCACGCTTCAGCCATCCGCCTGGCCGCTCGGGCCCGAACTCCCGCCCGCTAGGGTCTGCCCGCCCGATCTGCCCGTCGGGTTCTGCCACGTGCTTTTTTGCTGCTAGCCCCCCTCCTGCTAATTTCTCTCGTGCTCCATCCTTCTCCCTCACCCTTCCATCCGTCCTTTCTTCCGTTGTTGATGGGCTACACTACATGCGCGCGCACAGTAAGGAATAAATGCCCCGTAAGCGGATAAGATCGACAACGAAGAGAGCGGGTACCGAGGGTTTGGGATATACGTGATGGATTGCACGCGGGCAAGTAGGAGCGAACCGTCTTAAAATGGTTGCTCATGGTGAGGTTGTTGCTGCTGCTGTTGTTGTTGGTGTTGATGTTGCGCTGTGGTCGTCGTCCTCGCCCGCGACACGCCCGCGACCCACCGCGACCCACCTGCGACCCACCCACGTTGCTTTGACGTAAACAGCGCCACCTGCGGCGGGCTCGATATAGAACTGATACAATAAAGGCGTCGCCTACGGCAGGCTCACTCAGAGCCTCGCAGACTGCCGAACACCGTGCCGCTCATCCGCAGTTGCGGGGGCTCGCTGAACATCACAGACGAGCCAGCCGCAAGCGATGGCCTCCTCGGCAAAACAGTGTGGGTGCGTCGCGGGGTGGGTCGGCGGGTGGGTCGCGGGGTGGGTCTGTCGGGATGGGTCGCAGGGTGGGCCGCGGGCGAGGGCAACGGCAGCAGCGCAACAACACCGACGCAGCAACGCAAGAAACAATCCGCAGCGCGGAACCCCATTTGAGCCACGCGCCCAGGGACAATGAATGACCGTTCGGCCCCCTCACCCTGGGAAATACAGGTGTACGTTCATAGGGAGATATGCTTACCTCTGAGTGCACAAGTGACGGCGCCTCACTGCGCCGAGCCCGCAAAAAAACAACCACTGCTGCCAGGAAGGGAGAGGCCACACAGACACAGGTCTTGAAAGGGAAAGCGGCACTGAGCAGGCGAGAGGGCAGGCGGAGTCGAAGGGCACGCGGTCATGCATCCCCGTCGTGGTGTCTCTTCCAAGGCTGGGCCGTATCTCGCTTCCCATCCGCGCCCGTTCGTGTCGCTCTCCCAATCCCCCTTTTCCGATGGCCCTCCTTTGCAAGGACTTCTCTGGCCGTCCGCTCCCAGCTTGAAGCGGCAAGTTGGCCCGCCAGCTGCTGCGGTGTTGGCTCGCAAAGGGATGCGATCGAGAGCGACACAGGTCAAAAACATCAGAGCAATTGTGGCCACATCGTGGAGAGATAACTGACAGCGAACCCGGGTGCGATCGTAGACCTGACAGCGAACCCGGGGGCGATCGTAGACCCAGGCTGCCCACCAATGTGGTCCGATATCTGGCTTTGCAAAATCGGGCTAGCACATGGGGCCCCCGAACGGACGGCGGTCGCGATTGCAGTGGGGAGGGAAGGGAATAGGAGAGAGGAAGGGGCGGAGACGAGAAAGACGGATGTAGCTAGAGAGAAAAGAGAGAGAGAGAGAGAGAGAGAGAACAGAAAAAACATGAGAGAGAGAGATCGAGAGAGAGAGATTATACATCTCGCTGTGACGAGCTTTCACGTTCGGTGGATAGCGGCCAGACGTCAAGGCGAAGATGAACTCAAATTTGCGACCCAATTGGAGGATCAGAACGAAGAGGCACACCCCGCCGCGATAGCCGACGAGGAGCGCCGCCTCCAGCTGGAACCGGTTGTGATCATCCCCCGGCCCTCG